TACACAGGGGAGGTCATACTCGCTCGTTTTAAACACGTTTCTCAGCTTGAATCCGAGGAGTTTTGTTGTTGAGAAAGTGACAGGGGCCGGGTTCTCAGCCCAGTCACACACCATCGTTATTTTCCACACAGAGCTACTCCCTGTGCAAACACCGAGCAGCCAGGATCGATGCTCCCCGGGCAATCCATCCTCAGCTGCACCCCGGCAGGCAGAAGAGGAAACCCGACTCGCGCTTTTAGGCGACTCTGGACAGAGTCCATTCACTGCTTCCCTGCACCAGAGCCGAGCCGCCGGCAGCAGCCGTCTCCCAGCCCCTTGGGCAGACTGCCGCTCGACTGAAATCACTGCGGAGTACTTCCAAACACTTCAGCAGGCTCTGTATGTTGACTTTTTTAAAATGCTATCAAAAATAAGCATCTCTTGAATTAATCAAACTCCACAGCCGTATTTAGCTACAAAGTACAAGAAGAAGAAGTGATAAGGAATGCCTTTATTGTTCCACCTTCACCAACACCTTCCAGCTCATCTTTAATACTGAGCTGAACTGTGTTTCTGAATCCATCACTTTTCCTTCTCACAGCAGGGAACAGAGTTCCGAATATGAAAGAACCTAACAAAGTCTGACCTTTATTGTATCTTTACAGAGTATTCCCAGTTTCAAACTAAGAGATATCAGAGCACAACGCGGGCCTCAAAGGGGTAATACTGATTAAAGCATTCCTTCCTTCTTGAGATGTTCCACTCCTGTCAAAACAAACTTTGCAATGTTTTGAAACACTTGTGATTTGTGAAACATGCTCATTACAAATGAAAAAGGCAAAGAACTATGCTCAAACACCTGAGATGCCATCCGTAACACAAACCCACACAGTTTTTAAAATAATAATTATTTCTAGTATGATTAGCTTAGCTTTAACACCTAAGACAGACTATCACATATTCCATGAGCATGCATACAGTTGAGAAAAACATTTTAGTATGTTTTCATAATATCCAGTGATGCAAACACAGCAGGGAAGCCACACTACTTGAAAACGAAAGCCCACAACCCCCACCTGGCTCATCCCTCCAGACGTGCTTGTAGGTGACCAAGAACAAAGTAGAGCATTACTTAAAACGAGTCTAGTTCAAGTTCACAGGTACGTATTTCTAAACGTCTGCATTACTTGGGGTGTATTTCCAACAAGAAGGCTGAGGTCTTTCCCCAGAAGGAGAATTTGGGAACTGACAGATTCCACCCAAACGGCCAAAATTTCTCCACATGCACAGAATTAGTGGCTGTTGAAATTTCAAGTGATCTCTGGTGCCCATTTGTTTCTTCACAAGTACTGCGACTTTGTTTCAGATGGCAAACTGGCTTGGCAAGCAAAAGAAAAAAGAAAGAAAGAAACAAAAAAAGACAAACATCCCATTTCTAGAAGAGCTCTCCTCAGGGCTGCGGTTACTCCCGGTTCGCCCTCACATCCAGCACGAAACCAGAGGGAGCGTGTAACACCCCACGTACTCCCACTCCCGGCTACCTGCGTGTTCTAAACTGGGAAGCTTCGACTTACGTGCATCCCCCAAAAGGAAAATCTGCTCCAAGCTTATTCTTGTCCAAGAATAAATAATAAATCATCTGCTCCAAAACAAGACTGTTCTGTGTAAAATTGCTTTTCTCGTGTTTTTTATTTTTCTTTTCTCTTTTTTCTTCAAAACGTAAAGCCAGTCAGAACTTTGGATAATACCAAGTTTATTTGGCTAAAAATGGGCATTGTATCAGTTCACAATTACATTAACCATTTTAATATTAATGGAAATTCTCTATATTTATTACAGCTCCTAGTAAAACAAAAATCTACCAGCTTACTGTTAAGTTTTCCAAAGTCTATGCAGTTTTTAAATATGCTGTGCTATTTACAATTTTTGTCTTATAACTAATTAGGTTTTATAGCAAAGTTAATGACTTTCAACTTTCTAACAAGCATGTTAGAATAGCCTTAACTGACAAGACGTTCCTCTGGACGCCCACCTCAGAGATCAACCAAGTAAATAATGGACACAACCAAACATCAAAAACAGACAAAAAAATACTCCTAGCGCTATTAAACCTCGCATGAAAGAGACAGCACCTGGCAGCACATCACCCACCAGCACTATAAAATCAACCCAGACCTCATGGTGGCACCCACCCAAACTCCGGCATCCAGATGCCGATTCCTCGTTACCGGGGGCAAAGCCCTGGGTTAAGGGGAGTCGTGATCTGCAGTGAAACAGCCTGTCAAGCGGGGGGGGAACCAACCATACAAATGAAAGAAGGAAAAATAAAAGACTACGAATGCAGTAAAACACTCACATTACAAACTGCAACAACGTTTTCCAAGATAACAGTAAGCAGTACTGAACACAGAAAAAAGGAAGAAAAAGCATTCCCCCTCGCTTATCCTGAATTGTCCCCCCTGTTCCGTCCGACACCCCTCGCCAAAATGAAGTTTCTGCGATACGTGAGTCTATCGCCATTCAACTAAACCCTGGAGCTTCTGCTCCACGGGAGCTTAGATTAGGAAAGAATGGACAGCAAGCCACCACGTTGTAACACGAAGTAGTAAAACTCACCTTAGCTACACTCATTACCTTTAAAACATGGAGTTTTCGGGCAGAGCTTGCGCCTGAAGAGCTCTCCCCTGCGGAAAAGCATCTCCTGTTCTCTCACAAGTCCAACAGGGAACAGGGGAAGCGGCGCACGAGGTGCCACCTGGAGAACGCACCCGCACCCTCCAGCCCCCAGCCCATTCCTGGTGTTCATCACCCGTCCCACAGTACTGCTGCCTTTCCCAATACGGTTTTGTTACTTCGGGAGGCAGGAGGTGTCCGTGATCCCCCTCTCACAGGTCTGCCCGGGCCGGGGCTTTCCCTGCCCCACGGTTGCCCACTGCCCTGGTGATGCTCCCGCCCGGCCGTGCCAGGCCTCCTGCCGTCGCTCCGAGCAAGGCTCCTGTCTGCATCTCGCGAGCGGTGTACAGGCAAATCTTTCATTTTTCTTTCATTACCCCGGCATGTACTGTCACTTAATTTTTATGTATGCAATCCTTCCTGACAAATATGATCTGCTGCCTGGTAATTCGTCTGACGTTCATTCTGTTCCTTGCTCTAATTACGCCATTCCCGCCACGGCGGCGGCCGCGCTGCTGCAGCCCGGTGGTACACCTGGGCCGTGGTACTGCCTAACGCCCTTTTATGCCAGTCTGATGCTAGCAAATACAAAGAAAGAAAAAAAAAAAAATCAGATGAATATATTTGCATAAGCCACGCGTTCAATTCATGGGTCAGCAGCCAGAGAAATGATGGTTCAGGGTGGTTGCCGGGGCAACGCGGCCACGGGGAGTGCCGGGCATCGCAGCCCGGGTCCGCACGGGTACCACGCTCTGGTTTGCAGGGTGTTCATCACTCACGGCTACTTAAACAAATGTCTTAATTAAACCAAAACCAAGATCAGGATTGTAAAAATGTTCTTTTTACGTGGATCCAAGAACCACTGGAAGCAGGGGTGTGTCCATCCCTCCCACACCACACCGCGCCGTCTCCAGCCTCACCCACTGCTGCCCCTTCCGCGTTCGGCGCCTCATTCACCTGTTTCCAGGATGCTGGTGATGTGAGGAAGGGCAAGGTTCACGCAGAAGAGGCTTAACTCTTCCTACACGAGCCTTCTCAACTCAGAGAGCAGCCCCGGTAAAGGTCACCAGCTTGGCTTACATGTGCAGCCAGTTTCCAAGCCCCAATTTACTCTTATTAATGTAATAAGTGCAGCAGTCAAACTAGGTAAGATCATATAATTAGACATGATCATATTTTTGCCTGTTCAGATGATGTGATTGTAACTTGCTGTGAAGAGGATTTATTTTAATCTCTTAAGTATAGTGTGTATATAACCTAGGATAGCTTTTGATGCAAGTGGAAATCTCCTAATATTTTAGGGAGGTAAACTGTAGAAATGCCTCATCTTTTTTTAAGCACACACAAAATAAAGCATGTGTCTTCCTTCCTTGCGCACTCAGAAGTCCCAGTGTAGCTGGCGAGCGTCATCAGTGAAGTTTGTACACGTACAAGAAACAACAGAGCAAGACTCACACTCAGTGGAGGAAACTGCACCCAGGCAATAGCGAAGCAAACCCACCGTGTTCCAAACGATCTGTCCGAACTAATTGTGAGAGAGCTCACAAATCACACCAAAAGCCCAAAGCTCCTTCACTCACTGCTGTTACACAGCAGTACCTCTCTGACTCCAAAAACTGAGACCCGTTAATAAAAACGGAAAAATCAGCCACCTCGCAAGAGGTTACAGACACAATTATGAAACACTTTCATACCGTAAGACTTGAAGAATGAACTGCCTACACTGTATACTTTTCTATAAAATTATAATTAATGCTAACCGTAACAATGAGGGAGAGAGAAAATCAGACGCTCTAAACCAGTCAACGTAATTTCAGTTCCCAGAAAAATGCTGAAGATGTAATATTGCTACTTGTAAAACACAGAAAACAGAACAAGAAACAAATCGTCATCATATGAGCGGTCCACAAAACATCATGACAAATTGTATAATTTTTTCCACGATAAGGTAAGAGGCTTCAGAGGGAGGGAAACAGAAGCAACAGCTGTATTACTACCTTCATGCTTTTATCAAAGACTTGTATAACTTTACTTCAAAGCAACCTGTTAAATCTGTCTAAATGAAACTGCTTAATGGACGCAAAACTGGTCGGAAGTACAGTCCCCTGCCAAAGCAGAAGTGAAGCCCTTCAAGACCGCCGCCAGCTCTGCTTCTGCCCAACCCATGCAGGAACACCACTGCCTCTGGGGGTAACAAGCAGCCGGGATGAACCAAAGCACAGCAGAGTACAGGCTAAAAATTGAGAGTGATCGCAGGAGGGAGAGTCTGGAAACAGGCTACAATTCAGTAAGAATAAAAGCAAGGTACTACGCTTCGGCAAGAACAGTTGGCGGCACCAACAGACGAGCAGGAAAACAGTTTTGAGATGTGTGGAAGACAACAAGAAAATGTGGATCTTTACAGCCTCAGCTGAGTTTCAAGTGAAGTCCCGTTCTGTAACAGCAGAACCGTGAGGGCGTTGAACACTTCTCTCGCCTCAGCCAGCCACAACCTCTGTTCAGGGTAAGACGGCTGACCAGCATCTGCCAAAACGGTGGTGGTGCAACACCCAACTCCAACACGCAGAGCGCGGGCAAACGTGCCACTCAGAGGGGAAAAGGCGCATTGGTCACATTTGCTGTAAATCAAACACTTACCAGGCCTTCCAGAAAAAAAACCAAGTGGAGTTTAATAAAAAAAAAATAGCTATTAATTTCATATGAAGAGTATTTAAAATACACGTCACAGCAAACACAGTACGCGTCCAGCGAACCAAGCTCCTGCCGCAGTAAGAGCCCAGACCCCGCTTCTCTCGAACACCCCAGCTGACAGCTGCACGAGTACCATCTTACCTAAGGAATGTGCTGCAGTGGTTTTAGAACTAAAAAAACGGCCTAATCCAAGATCTCCCAGCTTCACCACCCCTGTGGCGGTTATAAACACGTTGGCTGGTTTTATGTCTGCAAGAAGAAAAAGGTAAAAGGTCAAAGCCACAAAAGGTTATTTGGTTCTAATACCGCAACAGAAGCATAGCCTGGAGCGCGCTCTGTACAAAGGAGGCTCGAGCAGAACCGTGTTTCTGTCTAGCTTTGATAGGCTGAATCTTCCAAGACTTCAAGCTCTGCACACACACAAAAAATCAGAGTATACTTCCCAGCACACAAGAAACAGCAGTGAGGGAAAACGTAAAAAAACAGCACATCAGAATAGAGGCAACGTCTAACTGATGGAGATCAAAGAAACAGGTCTGCTGCTCTTTGCAAATGGTTGTTTTCTGCAGGAAACTACTGCCCGCCACGTTCCCTCCTACCAAGGGCAACTTCTTGTCCCACACAGACATAAACTCTGGGCTCTGTACAGCCCAGTTTGTTCACGGAGCGTAAAAATGCCTAGAACCCCAGCTGCCCAAGCAGTCGCCTGTCCGGACGGAGGCAGTGGGGCTCCTTCCTCACGTCACAGCAGACTGAATGTAGGAGGCTCCACATTTCAGCCACCCATCACAGACCTAACTCAGGTGCACCTGCATCAGGGGATGTATAAAGGACCAAAAACGGTACCACGTTGATGAAAAAAATTCAGCGAAGAATGCACTGCTTCAAAGGCTAAGGAAAGGAAAAAGGACTACCAGGCAGCAGAGACCGGTACTGCGGCCTTTCGGGACACTCGCATTTCCCGGGGCAAGTCCTTCACAAAGTATTTCATTTATGCTGAAAGAAGCAACGTAACTTTTGGATAGAGCTCAAAGTTATGAAAAGTTCTAGGAGATTCAAAAATAATTAATGAGAACGGAGAAGAGGTTATGAGAGTGTGGGACATATTTGTATTAATATTTCAGAAAAGCTCACGAGACAGAAAAACTCTTCTAAACTCTCTAAGGTCACAGCCGATATAATGAAGGCTATTTCTTCGAGTTCACTGCATCCAGTAGTCTCAGCATTTTACTTCTGACACTTCTCTAATGGCAAGTTTGACACCTCTACTTAATATCAGTGTCTGGAATACAAAGCAGCTCATCTTCCTAATACCACGCTCACTTCGGACTGAATCCTGTAACAATGAGGCAGGGAGACAGAAGGAGAAATCCATCGTGCAAGCTCCAGCCTCTCTCAACATGCATTGGCTGAACATCAGCATAATTGTTTTTGAATGTAGGCGCTTACTAATTGGAACATTATATTACTATTCAGTGAAAAGAGACTGAATTAATGTTACCTCTGTGCATCACCCTGCGGGAGTGCATGTGTTCAACTGCACTGCATAGCTGCACAAAATATTTCCACACCGTCCTTTCCGGGATTAACCGTTTCTGCTTCTTAAAATACTGTGGGAGGAAATAAATAAAAGATCAGTGAAAAAGCAACATATTTGACTCGTTCCTGGACTTGTGTTAGCCAGCTCCAGGTTGCCCATGTCTTCCAGAAAAAAGATCAGGTTTTAACTCCTCTCCGAATGTAAACTTCAATGCAGTTCACTAATTAACAACTATTATGGAAAATATGCTTAAATAGGTTTGACATTTTTGAATGGACACCAATTATAATTAGCATTAATCTCCTTAATTACCTTGCAAAACATATTTAATGCCTCAAAACAACAAATGTCTCAAATATTTTGCCTTAAGTAACAAAAGATCATTAAAAAAGTCTTGTAAACATTCAGTATTATACAGTTTATTAACAACAATAAGCAAGTCTGTTTCCCCTTTTTAAAAGATGGCCAGGACATCAATAAAGTATCCATCCTTCTTCTGTGATCAGGGAGAATAACATATTCTATTTCATGCATAACAGGAATACTGAATTAAGTGAACTATCTCTGGTGAGACAGCCAGGCACCACTGATCAAGAGACACAGATCTGGAAAACGACCGTTTTGTGTGCGTTTCTGCAGCGCCAAGCAAAGCCGAGTCCGGGCTCAGCGGACCTCTGGGCGCTGACGGCTCTCCAATAGAACGGTCGTCAGCGTAACGCACGCAACGCGGAGGAGCGCAGCTCGGTGACGGTTCTCCAGCACACTGAAGTCTTCCTCCTGAGCAACTGCTTACAGGAGTAAATAACCAGCCGCCCGCTCCCGTGAGGGCTAACCATGGTGCACCTTCAGCTACTCCCTCTCCACTGCAGAAATGCACAACAGCCGCGCACGCCGCACGCAAAGCGCTACCTCCTCCTCCAAGCCATCCCAAGACTGCACTGCTTCGGATTAGGGGTCCCCAGCCTCTCCCGGCCCCTTCCTGGGCTGGACCCCGAGCCCGCTCTTCACGCAGAGCGTTATCAGGACACGCTGGTTTAAGACACATCCTCATCCTCAGACACACAGAGCGTCACTGGGCAACGACTGTCTCTGAAACGCCGCGCACCCTTTCCGGCGCACTGCAGCTGCATTCCTTCTGCGCCGTACCCTCGGGAATCTCCCTCCGCAGCCCGCAAGAGCGGGAATAAAGGCAGGGAGCTGCCTGTTGCCCCTTGCTGCATCTCGTGCTTTTTCCTCTCGCTACAGACATCTGATGACCGCTGTCACGTTTTACATTTTATGTGAAATGCTGTTACTGGTTCGTGTTTGACTCGAGTAATGACAAATTTTCTTTTGCAGATCAGCTGCGAAGGGGCACGACTGCGCAATTCCCCAGGCGGGAGATCTGACAGATTGCAACAGTTTCAACCCAAAACTCGACAGAGAGCGCAGAGGAATTACTGAGGGTGAGGGATAAAGCGTTATCTACACGATAACATTATTTCATTCTCATTAAAGTATTTAAGAGTAGATATGCAAGACCACAAGTGATAATTTTCCAAATGTCATGTCCAATAAGGCTCGCCTGACATTTACAAGAAAGTCCCAGCTCTCCGGTGGGTTCTCCTGCAGCCCTCTCTCACAGCAGCTTTACAACACCTCATAAATAATGCAGGCACCAGGGGCGTGACGAAGACGGTCCCTGGTTTTATCACTCTCGCACCTGCCGAGTGTTGTTACTGCTGTTCCTGCCACCTCACCGAAACCGAGAATCCTCGCAGCAGCTCAAGCTCCCCAGGGACGGGCAGGGCGCGGGGGGGACGCGGAGGGGCAGCAGGCAAGCTCCGCTTCTGCGGTGAAAGCTATGTGGAGGACAAGACTTTCGTTCTTAAGAGTATTTTTTCTTTGATTAAAAAGTGGAATTCAAAGACTTGCACCTACAGAAAAACATCATTTATATGATCTTGAAAAAAACCTACTGCATCTTTTTCGTGCCCGCGACAAACACGTGGGAAACCCGACCAGACTGGGGAGCGTCGGCAGAAAGAACGCAAGTTACAGTTTGCTGTTCAAGTTATCAACCTAAGGATTTACAAATTATGCTTTGGAAAATGTAACTCCTATTTATAATGACAGAAAAAGCAATTTTGAGAAAATTAAATTACCAACCCTGATACATAAATGAGTATCTTTATCAGAAGGCAAAGTTTTAAACCAAAAACTGTAAAAGATAAAAAAAGGCAAATACTTTATATGATGATATCTAACCATTATGTAGGTGAAAACTTCTTATAAGCTAAGACTTAAAAGTCCAGCAAAACACTTGCACATCCCATGATGATCACAGCCCTAACTCCTGCTCTCCCAGTCCTCGCTTTTTCTCCATCTTTACCCGCCAGCACTACAAGTCTGACACAAACTGCACGTTTCCCAGGATCTGCTGGGAAAAGGGTAAAACGTGGAGGAAGCCACGCGAAGACCGGGGAAGCTAAAAGCACACACGAGCTCTCCGCAGGCAGACGGACAAGCGCTGTCTCCGCAACCCAAACCGTGCCACCCGCCCTTGGCGCGAGTCACCAGCCGGCACGCGCGGATTCGGGCTCCGCCGGCTCGTTCCCCGCCCGCCGCCTCTCTCCGGCGAGATGGGGCAGATTTTCACGGGCACTGTAAATTTAGCCGCTGCCTATGGACTAAATGGATAACTTGTTTGACAGCCTTTGGCCTAGTGCCTCACAGCTCTGCTTGCAAAGAAAACAAATCTGTTAATAAGATATTTTAACTGTGACAACAACGAGGAGGAGAACTTTCCAAACATTCATTTATGGTAATTACAGAATAATGATGGCAAAAAAACAGGTAAAACATGGAGAGAAGGTTGAGAGTGCTAACAAACATGATATAACACATCTGTTCTCACAAGGGATGTACGTCTAAAGATTAACATGTCAAAGAAAATATAAAAGCAGGTGGTAACAGCTTAACTAAAGCTGGTTTGCAGCAATACAAGTATTCCTAACAGCAACATAAGAGAAGAACAAGTACTTGAAACACTTTCTCAAACCCAAACCCCCACTGCAGAGAAAGTCCATAGACTTTCTGGCATGTCTTCAGCGGGGCAGACAGGTTCTGGGACCTAACAGGCACCAAGCGTCCCCACCAGTCACACCCCGGCGAGATCAACCTTGCAAGCCACACGCACCTCCCGCCCAGCACCCAGCGGCTCGGCCCCTTTCGAAGCGGGGGGCCAGCGGCAGCGGCACAGCCTGGCGTGCTTCCAGTGCCACCAGGCACTTCGGCTGCGGCTCTGGAAGCACCCCGTGGGCGAGCAAAGCCGCAAGAGGAGAATAAAAGCACTTCTGGCACCGATCTGCTCACCCCCCCGGTCTCGTGTCTCTTAATCATCTTACCTTAATCATCTGAGAGAGATCACCAGCATCGGCCAGCTCCAGGACGATGTTAAGTTCATTGTCTTCAATAAAAGAATCCAAATACTTAATTATATTGGGGTGGTTCAGTTGCTGCAGACAGAGGGAATGCAAGAGGAGAATTTGTAACGCTGTAGTAACAACAGTTCCAAGATACAACACCCGTACTGTTTGGGTAATCATTATGCAAAACAGTTCGCAACAGGGGCAACAACAAACTGTGCTCTGGGTTATTACAGACAAAAAACCTGTAAGAAAGACCATTTAATCACAAGCACAACGTAATAAAATTGCCTTGAGAAGAGAGCAATACAGCCCAAAACAGGGTGAAACTGCCTTTAAATATTTTGTGAGTCTACAACAGCAAAGCTATGTCCTGAAAGAAACTCTGTTAGGCAATAACCGACTTTTTTCCTCCCATTAAATACAAACAAAAACCCTGTTGATTACAGCACTCCTTGAGGCCTCTCTGCTCCTTAGAAGAACAGAATTAAATTAAAATTTTGATGGAGGAAAATAATGCACAAGTTGCATACGTCAGTTTATTTTTCTGATGATTTATGATTGCATCTTCAGTAATTACTTTTTTTCATTTCAGTATAGCTGCTTCTTCTATGTGCAGCTGGTATCTGAATTTCTTATCTTCCTTCTAGATTTGTTAAAAACATGCACCTTCTCAGATTGTTACACATTACTCACAGGACTAAATGAAGACACAGGCTCAATAAATTAAAATTTCTGGTTTAATATTTTATGTCTGAATTTATTAAAGTGGAAAACTGTAACTGCTTAGAAGATGATGTGGTGTCTCGCTCTCTCTGTTCACTCTCTCTTCTCATTTGGCATTAGATTATCTTTCTCTCATGCTCTTCGAAATGCAGTAAATTTAGAAACTACTAAAGTGAGCATTTCATCTACTGAACAGCTGTGACTCAACCTGCCTATTCCAGGGGTTACAAAGCCAAAAGAAACACGGTTATGATCCATCATGCTAATCACCCCTCTCTGCATGCCCATTAGGGGATAGATTCTCCTCGGCAATGCCTCGACACTGGCGCACATTAGTGTTAATGGGAGCCATGGGCAGGCATCAGCAGAACACCATTCCCACCAGACCCAGCCTTAAATAAATAAATACCACAGACCACCAGTTCTGTTGAAATTTCTTTTAAATGTCTGCTCTCAGGTACATGGACCAGAGATCAACTTCCAGGGGTCAGCAAGTCAAAGCAGCCTTTTTCTAAGCCTCAGCACCACGTGCCAACAACACACACCATCGAAACGCTCCAGCTGCCACAGGGAGTGCCGACTGCACGCCACCGGGAGAGCCCCCACGCTAACGTTTCTCCTGCCCGCACCCCAGTCGCTGCTTACTTCACCGTGTGTAACAAAGCCCAACGTACCCCGACCCAAGCACTGCTTAACCACGATAAAGAATTTAAATATCTTTTTTGTGAGACTGTACACACTTTTTACTGATGGTTTTTATTGTTTTCAAGAATCTCGTTGGATCCTCAGAGGAATGTTTCTTCTATTAGGATGAAGTTGCATAAAATTACAAGCAAACACATGAAACACCCATGGCACCATGCTAACTGGCTGCTGTTGACGAACAGACCTGCGCAGACTCGCGTTTCAGCGGCAGCACCCAGCAGCACCCTCTGCGGACGCTCAGGAGGGGGCCGAGAGCTCCAGGAGGAGCCTTACCGGGCTCTTCTCCGCTGGGGAACACCGCAGACCGCCCGCGACCCTTCAGAGGCTCCAGGGCAGAAGTACACAGTTGTTCTACAGCTGGTTTCACTGACCTTCAAACTCTGTTTTCCCAGAACAGCCACGCAGACCACTTGGGATAAGCCCAACTTCCATTCTCCACCCTTCCTTTTGTCAAACTTATTTTAAATAAATATATTGACTCTGGGGTTTTTTATAATTATTGTATATTCGTGTACCATGGAAAAGGCTACCTGAATTTTCTTTTTGTCGGAAAGAAAGTATATTAATTCTTACAAATCCTTAAATGCACAAAACATTCCAAACACTTTACCTCGGGTTAATGACATTCCCTATTCCTTTAACGCACCCAAAGTGTGCTGGCAGTTGATGCCTGGTGCGTATGCACAGCAGCACCGTCGGCACGAGGCAGGGTAAGCCCCCTCTAAACGAGCCAGTGTGGGTGCTGGCGGCCCAAATGCTGATTACAGCCACGTTATGGAGCTGCTTTACCTAAACCTTATAGCCAGAATGACATGGAAAGTAATATACAATTTTGTCTGGCTTCTGTCAAATTTTGAGTAATTATAATTCATTTACAAATCACAAAACCCCCTTTTGTTTCCATGGTCACACAGAGGCCTTTGACCAAAAAAGACAAAGTATTATTCTGACAAAGATGGACTACAGCAAGTCCGTGCAATTCCTTCACAAATTCTTGTGGTCTACATTAAAAATAAAAACAACAAAGAAAGAAAAGCCCTTACAGCAAGTTGCTTTAGTAATAGCCTATAAATACTTCATACTAGACACCAGAGTTTAAAAGTAGGAAGAAAAAGTTTCAAAAATGAATAGCCCATGTTGCATGGCCAGACAGCAGCCACAGCTGCCAGGCAGACGCACCTCACCCCGACAGTGACCAGAAACCGTTCAGCTGAGCAAGGTTTAACAGACCCTGAGTTACTGTGCTGAACTGGCTCCTCGTACGCTTCACGCTCTCTAGGCCCAAGAACAATTATCTTAATAAATCTAAAAAGTGAAAGGTATTTCATCTTTTAATATAATGACACTACAAATGCTGAAATAAAAATTATTGAGAATAAGTCATTCATTTGAGAAAAACACACCCGTGCTCCTCTCCCCTGAAGCTCTGCACAGCGCATTCTGCAGGAACCCCAAATGTGCCGAGCTCACAGCAGAACAAGAAACCCCACGAACTTTCACAACGAGCCAGGAGATCACGCCTACTCCACAGCAAAAGCTAGTCTCACTTCTAAATCTTCTTCCTCCTTCCAGGCACGGACTGTTCTGCCCTGTGCTGCGTAACTGGTACCATCCCAGCACCCCTGCGTCCTACCCTGCTGCGGCAGCTCTGCAGCTCTGCAACCC